CACATAAGATAAAAATCAGAATAAAATGAATTTGGGTTTTGAAATCAGTCCTTCTTGTCTTCAAGAGCTGTTGCCGATGTAAACGCACGGGTATACCAGATCAATGACATTGAGCATGCTGCTAATGTCATTGACCAGATATATAAAACTTCAATGTCCGCCGACCCGAAAGAATTAACAATCGGAAACAAATAAAACGGCCGTCATAGATGAACGTCAGTGTGCGACACGCAAAACGGATCACGGCATCGTAAGTTCTACGCAGCGACGTTATCACGCGTCACTGATCACGCAGACATTTCTCTCTCACGACGAAGTGACGCAAAGCGAAAAGTGGCCATCCGAAGTTAGAAACATTTGGAATACAGATCTGCAGACAAATAAAGTCAATAATTTGAATGAAAAAAGGTATTGACTGATATGAAACCGAGTTTATCGTGAAGAGAAAGGCTTCATTGTATTATATTCCAAGTTTGGCTTCAATCGAACAATAAACGGCGGAGAAATTGTTCATAATATAGTATACGTGCCCACGACAAAACTCCTTAGATTGCGGCGGGTACGTTGATGTACTCCACTGTTTTATTTAGCAATCGATCGCAAACTCTTGGTCTAGTTTTTCCGGGTTTTAGTTTATTGATAAGAAGTCTTCTTGGAGATTAACATAAGCGACGGTAAATCTCGCTTTCGTTTACCATGGGAATTTTATTTGCGGCGGAACGAGGGAGTGTTTTTGAAATTTATGCAAATTTCGGTGTTTTTTGGGTGGTAATAGAAGACATATTATCTATTCCATCTACCAAAGTATTTTGAGTTAGATAACGAGATTGCTACAGCAATATTATGCTATTGTTTGCCAACCAAGAAGCGGTAACAGTGAAGGATTTAGCGAATATTTCTATTTTTTATCACGGTTTGAAGTTTCAACACCCAAGAAAAAAAATGCCTTTTCTCTATCCGGTTTGTGACTCAGACCACCCCTTTTAAAAAAAAAAATTTTTTCAATCGCCAATTGCAAGCTCTTCAAATAAGCTTTCCAACGAGCCGTCAGTGGGCAGCAGAGGATCATTACTTTTTCGTTAGTCGATCGATTAGTTGTGGGGATACAAATGCATAAAGTCGGCGTAGCAAATACGGTTATTTAATGAAAAATAAATATTGCATGGAAAGGGTTAAAGAGAACGGTGATATTATTATCGACACCGGGATGGAGATATTTATTAAGACGATGATTGACGTTCTTATGCTTTGCACCTGCGATTGCACGAATCCTGAATTTTTATTCATTATAATAATTGAATAAATCGGCCGTTTTGCATTTATACTTGTCATAAGGCTTTTGGTCCTAATAGCGGGTCGGACGCTTATTATATATAACTATTTCCCTCAAGTTTTAACGTTTTTTTTTTTTTGGACAAAACAAAAACCCGACGATTATTATAGCTAAAATCGTTACCGACTAACTCACAATTTTATCTACGGAATTTGCGAACTCAGCACTTTACTCGACGATTTTGACAGTGTCACGCCATAATTATTACCGCTAAAATGCCTCAAAATACAACGCATGTAATAATTTATGATAATTTTGCCCAGCGCTATTTCTGACATTTCGCAAAACTAAACCATTTACTTCTGACTATTCTTAATTTCATGAAAGTGCTAGATTTTGCTAATATGATCGTTTTAATACAAAACAAAAATTAGACAACATGGGACAAATGAAAATAAAATAACAGACGAATAAACTAAGTCGTAAAAATGGAAGTGGAAAACAATTTTTAATACGAAACAAAAATGAAACGAATGAAATTAAAAAAAAAAACAATGATGAATTAAGATAGGTAGTAAAAAATGGCAGTGGAAATGGAAAACAATATGGAACGGTGTAGCTTGTGGCTCGTGTTCATAATTCAGATATAATGTATTCACAGGCAGATAGACAAAGTCAAATGACATGAAACGGATAAAAACGCCAAATAGAAACTTTGATACTCTTTTCTTCATTTTGCGACTTACTCGTATGTGGTCCAACCTCCTACTGAGTGCACCTGAGTTTCATGCTCACCTGTGCAACATTCTACGCTTATAATATTATCACCGTAAACATACATACTTTATCATTGTGATAGTATAGATACGCGTAACTGGCTGTTCATTAGCCTTACGTATCAACAACATCTATACGTTCGGAGAATGAATGCAAAAATATTAACGCACAAATTTGATGTGCATTAAACGGATTCACAATGAATAAACAGCATATGACTGGGGCTATAATGAAGTTTTTGTAGGATTTGGTGACTAGGATCAGGTAGGAGCTTTCACTTTATATTTAACTACACGTGGCGCCACATAGTCTGGCGTTCAAATGTCGCAGCGAGTTACGCAATGTGACGTCGGCTTTAAATGGAGCGAAATTGAATCACCGTCACAGCGTAAGCATCGTAACGTCGATATTTTGACGAAATTTTTAAATTAAAATAGTATATTTTACTTGAATCACACACGACATCTCGTGATCACTGTAATTTTCCTTGTACATTGTGTATGCCCTCTAGCGATTGACGGTCTTTTAGTGAAGTTAGCGTCGGCAGAATTCGCTATGTTAGCCGCTCAAAAACAAGGTGTCAATTTTTGGCTAAAATGTGATTTTTTGTGTCAAAAAATAAATAAGATTAGGCGATTGAATATGATAACAGATTTAGATATATAAGGACACTCTATAGAAACTGCCAGAAGCAAAATATGACATAATTTAGTCAAGATATAAACGATTGAAAATTTCATCCGAAGTTACCTGCGTTTACGGTATCTCTCTCCTACCGATCATTGCGACAGGAAAACGAGAGAAATGACTGTTCGATTTCGGGTTCTCGTCTGCGCGTCTTGGGTGACAGTTCGCATGGTTTGAAGGGCTGTATTACGTCACTGTGACGTAATTTTTGGATGGTGTGGTCAGGTGGGGGTTAGGATTGACACGTGAAAAAATTGTTATGCTACGCCTACTGGAAGTATGTTAGGTACGAAACTACATGAGACCAGTTGTCTTGTGGTGCATTTGCAAATAGTTGAGCACTGAAAACATGCTCAAACATAGACTGTGGGCCATATAAAACTAGCTTCTGTGAAATGGCTGACTTCGGATGATTTCACTATACTTTAATCAATTACTCAGCCGTTTGTTGTCCGATTTGCGTCAAACTTGAAATATATAACATTGGTGTAATTCTCTGTACATGCATTTAATTTTCTCGTCGATCAGATCATTTTTTATGTCTTAATTGTCTCATTTTTCACTACGCCACTAAATATCTATCTTCGAATGGGGAATCACCTCCCTGCGTCACCGCAACTCGAGTGAAAAGTGCGTGCGTGAAGACAAAACACGCTTTATGTCGTTGCGTAAATGCCAGATATTCAATCCACGTCGCGAGCGGCGATGATAATGACGTCCGTGCAGTTTCCGGTGCGGCACTTTCAAGTTGATTTTATTCTAAAATGTTTCGTTATATTTTCGATTATCGTAACTATAGATCCGAATACTCACGGGTCAAAGCCGATTTCGTTATAGCCGAAATTGTTTTGATAATGTTTGCAATGTGGCACGTGTTGATGTAAAACAGTGCACAAGTTACCATTCCTCAAGTATTATTCACTCCAAGTATTATTTACTCCCACCTGTCCGTTATGACATTTGCTAGAAATAATCTGAAATGTTTTATTCCCGCTTGTATCGCCCTAACAAAATTAAAATTGAATACTAATTTTTTTTTGTAACAGCTGTAAAAGACGTGTATGTTTCTGTTCACCGCCACTCGAATGGAAGCCTGACAAACGTAAATAAAATAAATATATATATTTTAGGATGAGAAACACGATTTTCAATTAACATTGCTGGCCGATGAACCCATTCAGTAATAGTTCTCTTCAAATGTACGCGAAATATCTCACTCAAAACAAAGTTTAAATTAAATTTCAATCAAATTTAAATATCATCTGAGACGTCGGTAGCTGATTCTTTATACAATCATGCCGCGGTGTACAATAACTTAGTCGCAGCGCAGGTGTGCTGTTGAAAAATTTCAAAATTGTCACGAATTTTCAGATATACGATCCATTTAAATTCGCGCATAATAGAAACTTAGGCTATTTGGGGGAGAATACGCCACACATCATCTCGAGTGAGCGTAAAAGAGTGTGTTGTGCCGAATTTGAAACATACGACGGCAGATAAGTAAAAAAGTCAATCACGAAAAATTCATTTCCATTTATTTGTTGTTATTTGGAGTGCCGCATAAACGCATTCGGCAGTTCGCCGCCGAAAACAACGATTCAACAAACGTTCAATTTTTTTTTCGTTAAATCGCTCTCTTTTTCCGAAACACGTAAATCTGATTCGAATCGATTCAGAAAAGATGCGATTCGAATCGATCTAAATCCAAAGTGGCATCCCTATCGGCGACGCAACATGATGTCGTCTTCAAAGTGAGCGACGTCAAGTTTAGCGTGTAGGTCAGATGCTATTATTTGAATTACAATTTTTTCTCGAGTCTCCTGCGACATCTCGTGATCAGTCTATTTTCTATATACATTGATAACACCCTCTATCGAATGACAGTATTTTGAGGAACTTAGCATCAGTAGAAGTCACGATTTAAGCCGTTCAAAAACGGAGTGTCAATTTTAGGTTAAGACGTGATTTTTTTAATCAAAAAATAAATTAAATTGCGCGATTGAATATGATAACAGATTTAGATATATAAGGCCTTGCTATAGAAACTGCCAGAAGCACAATATGACGTAATTTAGTCGAAATATTAACGATTGAAAATTTCATCTGAAGTTAGCCGGTTTTACGGTTCTCATTTAGAAGCAAGCTGACGATCGAAATTTGCACGAAAAATATAAGTTTATTAAAAATATTAATGCTTCTAATAAATTTCATGACAATTTCATGGTCAGAAGTGCATAATACTGAAATTTACCATTGTTTTTAGATTTTATTTATTTTGGAAATTGTTACCAAAGACGCATTTCCTTGCCTTAACTGCGCTGAAAACTGTTCATGTTTTTGCTCATTGACAATGATGAAAATTCTTATCGCACTGAAGAATCAAACGAATATGTGACTAACAACATTGCTGGAACTAGTCAGCCTACTAACTCTGAGGAGAATTGTGGAAAATATATTACAAGTAAAACTTTTTCACGTTGTGTAGCTGAAAAAAAAATAGAGGAAGTGGTTTTGCTAAACCACTAAACTGGAAGGGAAATCACGAACCCAGTCACTTGTCCATACCAACACCGGACCAATGCCTAATCTGAAAAGCAACAGTGGAGATGAATCATATAGCTGCAAACAATTAGGGAAGAGCTTCAAATCAAAGCGGAATTTAAACAGGCATATGCGGATTCCTCCAAGAGATAAACCCTATATTTGTAAACAATGTGGAAAATGTGTTTCACGATTATCTAATTTACGAGAGCATGAGCGAACTCACACTGGCGAAAAACCTTATGCTTGTAAACATTGTGGAAAGGATTTTTCACAATTATCTAGTTTACTTAGGCACGAGCTAAGTCATACTGGAGAGAAACCTCATATATGTAAACAATGTGGAAAGTGTTTTTCTCGATTATCTCATTTACAGAGGCATGGAAGAACTCATACTGGAGAAAAACCTTATATTTGTAATCAATGTGGAAAGTGTTTTACGCGATTATCTCATTTACAAGGGCATAAGCGAACTCATTGCGGCAAAAAACCTGGTGCCTCTAATCATGTTTGTGAATATTGTGGAAAGTGTTTTACGGAGTCATCTAATTTACATGTGCACAAGAGAACTCATACTGGAAAGAAACCGTTCGTTTGTGAACAATGTGGAAAGAGTTTTTCACAAATATCTATTTTACGAGCGCATGAACGAACTCATACTGGAGAGAAACCATATTTGTAAACAATGGAAAGAGTTTTTCACAATTATCTGGTTTACAAGCGCATGAACGAACTCATACTGGAGAGAAACCATATTCTTGTAAACAATGCGAAAAGTGGTTTTCATATTCATCTGCTTTATCAATACATGAGCGAACTCACACTGGGGAAAAACCTTTCATTTGTGAACAATGTGGAAAAAGTTTTACGCATCATCTAGTTTACTTGTGCACAAGAGAACTCATACTGGAAAGAAACCTTTCGTTTGTAAACAATGTGGAAAGAGTTTTTCACAATTATCTAATTTACGAGCGCATGAACGAACTCATACTGGGGAGAAACCTCATGTTTGTAAACACTGTGGAAAGAGTTTCACAATTATCTGATTTACAAGCGCATGAACGAACTCATACTGGAGAGAAACCTTATGTTTGTATACAATGTGGAAAGGCTTTCTCACGATCATCCACTTTATCTGAACATGAGAGAATTCATACTGGAGAGAAACCACATATTTGTAAACAATGTGGAAAAAGTTTTTCACAATTATCTAATTTACATGTGCATGAACGAACTCATACTGGAGAGAAACCTTATGTTTGTAAAGAATGTGGTAAGCATTTTGCACATTTATCCACTTTGCATGCCCATGAGCGAAGACATACTTGAAAGAATCCAAATTACGTTGGTATGAGCAAACCTAACTGTGTAAACAATGTGTGATGCGCTTTTTGAATAGACTGCGTTTACAAAAACAACATAGGCAGGAAAACAACAGTTTGTGTGGGTTCCTTACATATTGGATCGTTTGGAAGAAGTTTTCCTTATATTTAACCTAATCATAATGCAGATATAAGCTACTCATATTCTTTTGAAATTTTGATTGAATTTAAAAATAAATAGTTTAAAAAGTCAAAACTTTGGAAATGTTTTACGAGTTTTAAAATATATTCTGCCATATTCATTCGTGCGTTTGGCTTTATATTAAGAGAATAATAAATGAGAGAAAGCAATATTTTAAAAGTTCAGTTTTTCGTTTTAATTTTGTTCAGGAGATTTTTAAAGTAAGATCTTGAACAATTAGCCAAACACGGCAATGATAATCCAATTCGGATTTTACCAGATGATGCTAGCTTTAGTTATCAGATAAGTCAATTTCAATATATTTTTTTCGTTTGTTTTTGTATAAATTTTTGTACATACATGTTGTAATTTTATTTTGTAACACCATAATTCGATAACATTGGGGCGGAATTTCTCAACTTAAACTCACATATGTCAGATGACTAATTTTTTTTTTTTTGAAAGTTTGAAATTAACCGATGAGATTAAATATTTTTCATTTAATGTGGACAATGTGATATTTATTGTGTGGGTTCCTTACATATTGGATCGTTTGGAAGAAGTTTTCCTTATATTTAACCTAATCATAATGCAGGTATAAGCTACTCATATTCTTTTGAAATTTTGATTGAATTTAAAAATAAATAGTTTAAAAAGTCAAAACTTTGGAAATGTTTTACGAGTTTTAAAATATATTCTGCCATATTCATTCGTGCGTTTGGCTTTATATTAAGAGAAAAATAAATGAGAGAAAAGCAATATTTTTAAAGTTCAGTTTTTCGTTTTAATTTTGTTCAGGAGATTTTTTAAAGTAAGATCTTGAACAATTAGCCAAACACGGCAATGATAATCCAATTCGGATTTTACCAGATGATGCTAGCTTTAGTTATCAGATAAGTCAATTTCAATATATTTTTTTCATTTGTTTTTGTATAAATTTTTGTACATACATGTTGTAATTTTATTTTGTAACACCATAATTCGATAACATTGGGGCGGAATTTCTCAACTTAAACTCACATATGTCAGATGACTATTTTTTTTATTTTGAAAGTTTGAAATTAACCGATGAGATTAAATATTTTTCATTTAATGTGGACAATGTGATATTTATTGTGCTTTGAAAACTGGGAGTGTTAATGATCAAATGCTAATGACGGTAACATAATGAAGGACTAGGGACGGAAGTGTATATGGCAGTGGTTCTCGAACTTTTTTTGCTCGTTTAGTGTCTTTGAACAAGTTATTCCGCAAATGTTAATGCGATGTGCCTGTTTTAAAAAACGATTGGAACGAGGTTTTATCGCTCCCTTTTTTCCTTCTACGCGCCTCACAATTGAGGTTGGGGTAGAAAAAGACTCTCGTCCGGTTACCAGTCAAGGTCGGGTATGGGATTAGTTAACCAGTTATTTGTTTTCGAAAGCATGGACTTGATGGTGGAAGAAGCCGTAACCGACCAGCGGTTACGTGAACCACCCCACGGCGACAAGGAGTCCAGCAATCCTCTCGCACATGATCATTCCCGCATGGAAATCGAACCTGCGATCCCACGAAGGGTAATCAGAGAGCGTATTCCTAACGCTTATCACGATGCGCCATACCGCCGAGCAATTCAAAATCGGCTTCATTTATATATTTATTCTGGTGATCTCTCTATAAATCCTAGTTGGATACTAATATGTGGTTCAAATTTTCAGTTGTCAAAAGTTTATTACATTCAATTACCTACTTTTTTTGGTGGGCGGGCACATACATTGTTCGCTTTTTAACTTCATTTTGAGTTATGCCCGTCTCCCAGGTATCTCTGCATTTTGTTTTGTCAGAGAACCAAAATAAATGATTGGTTGATTATGACATAATATAATTATACCGTGACGATCATCTTTACTACAACGACAAGGCAAATGCAATAATATAACCAGCCCAATACTGCATACTCACGTCTCACAAGCTTGCCCGTTGCATGCATGCCTATGTGTAATACAAATGGCCTAGTTTCCAAAATTTCAAACCGCTCCTCGGCACACCTGAGAATCTCTTGAGGCACACAGTATGAAAGGGATGGGCGAAATTTTTTAGTATAAAAGCCGCGCATGCACCAAGTCACAAATATGTGAGAGCCGCATGATTTAGGAATCAATAATATTAGAATACTGTGAACTGAAAACAAACGTATATTAACAGTATTGCAAAGTAATATTGCGATGCCATATCAGAAGAAGTTGACTTGTGTGTTTCCATCTTATCTGAAAGTTTTGTGATATGTAGTCAATGCAGCGCAGGACATATCGCACTGTTACTGAGACTAACCGCAATAAAGCTACAACAAACCGCCAACGCAGCAACAAACATTTGATCATTGTGATGTAAGATTTGTCGTTTGACAGTTTGAACTTTAAATTCCACGTTGCGATTTTCTTACTGAAACACAATTTACGCTACAGTTCCTCTTAATCAAATTTGAATAATAATTATTGCCAGCGAGAAGAGCCGCGTAAAAACTCCAGCGAGCCGCAAAACTTTATCGGGGCCGCACGGTTGTGCATCGTGCTGAGCGTTGTTGGCACCTCTGGAGGGTCATTTGTCTAACTCAGGGGTGCACAACCTTTTCTCTTTAGACGCCGCATTATGTTTTTGTAAAAAGTCTACGGCCGCCAGTGGGATCGAGATTTTTTATGAGCTTTATTTATTAATTATAGAATTGGTATTTATTGATATATGTTATTGACTTGCGTCTAAAACGTGCATGGAAATGGTTGAAAGTTAAACATATATGAAAAAATCAAAGTTTTTAAGTGGTCAGTATTTTATTGCATCGAATAATTTTAAATGAATGAGAGATATTCAGATTTCATATACAGTCGGCAGTCCCGCTGAGAATTACTATGATTCCGAAGTTGTTGACAACGCAAAAAATATTTACATTTGCTTATTACGTTATAAATTGCTGATATTATTCGTCAGCGTTTATAACTTTGCAGGCATTGGATAAATATCTTCCGCAGATACTCTTATCTCACATCCTTTAGCAGCAGCGTACATCAGAATTAAATGTTCTATTTCTTGCAAAATTGTGCGTTTAATCATATAAACGCGTAAGTTCCTAATCGATCATCGACAACAGGCCTTTTCAGGATTAATTAAAGAATTTATACTTTAGACAATAATTTTGCGAAGCTTTTTTCATTCAAGTCACTGATTGATTCGGTACGCTTGATGTGGTCATTTGGACCGTTAACATCGATTGTGTCTGTAAACTATATTTTTGAAAATCCCTATCCGCTCTTACACTCGTACGTTTTGTGCCTCAAAGACGCCAATAATTGTTTTTTTTCCCGCCCTGACCTGGGTGTCCTCTGTTAAAAACTCGTTAACTAATCCTTGATCTTCGGTGACGAGACGCTTGAGATTATAATAGAGCGAATCTGCAACTTAAATTTTGGACACAAAATAGGAGAGTAACTACTGAAACTGAAAACGATGTTATAAAATATTATCCCCATGACTTTTGTTTTGGGATCCCGCAACAAAAAAAAATAGATTACGTTAATCGCCAAAATTTAACAATTAAATTTCTGTGTTGGAAACTATATCACAATCACCGATGTTAAAAATTTATTTATGCACACATTGTACCTTCTTACGTATTCTTGAATTACTGTCAGGTATTGTGATGATAGGACCGTTTCACTACGTTTTTTAAATGTCCACAGATATATTATTACAGAAGCAATGATGCTTTCTTTATGTCTTTGGTCGCGAGTTACGTCTAACACAACTTAATCAATATAGAAAGACAATTTAATTTCTGGTATCGGTCATGGATTAAATATGTTAAGCAACATAAAAAATCACTATGCGCTGAAAAGCCCGGCGTCATTGCGATCAGGTTTCGAACAATAGTAACTTCGTTTCATGCACGCTGAAAATAATTCTTAATTTCATCTGGAATTAAAGAACCGTTTACTTTTGACGATATCCCGCTTAAGAGATATGAAAGAATATTTACAACTGTTACTTTTTTATGATTACTGATAAATTCATTTCCATTTCAGACATAAGTACTGCTACGATTTTCCGTAACAGTCAACCAACATAAAAACAAATTGTTTTGCAGTAACACAAACTGTAACACACCCAGCACGGCCACAGATTTTACCTTCGATGGCCGCAGGTTGTGCACCCCTGGTCTAACTTCATAAAGAAGGTTTACGAAGCACGTATCTCTCAAACACGTGCGATTCATGAAGATCTTGTAAAAAACTTTCGCTCATCCTCGATATCTTACACACGATCGTCGTTGAAGAAAACCACGTCTAATCACTCGCAATCGTCAGGATAGAATTCAATTTACATATTTATCCGGGGAGTGGGAAGTCGATTAAAGCGGCTTAATCATATGGCGAATCACAGCCTCTCACGCCATTCCTCCCGACTCTCGCACATAACCACCCACGCATTTCTCATTTTACGAGAAAGTTGGGCTTTACTAATACATTGAATTGTAATAAATATTGGTGAATGGATCCCTGATTACTCTGCGCGGGTTCGCAGGTTCGAATCCCACTGAGATTAATTGATGTTTAAAAAAATGATAGACTCCGACGACTGGACCACTGCATGCAAGTCCAAGGGACGCGTGATCGACGAAAAGCCGTGATCCACCATACCGTTAAAGCCTGACTTATCAGCTTTCCTCTCCCCTGAGATTAAATTACATCTCTCCTAACCCCACTCGGACAAATTTATAAGCGTTTAGTGTCGCTGTTCGATAACCATTCCATGAGGCTTCCCTCCCTCAGTAAAACAAAATTATCGTTTTCTCGTAATTTGTATACGGTTGTGTTTTTTCTACTATTCAGAATATATATACTGAGTTGACTTCGAAAATTTCAATCAAATAGCTTAGCAATCTATTTTTTGGAGAATTTTTAGTTTAATAACAACAGTGTATCTTAAAACTGAAATGAATATAGAATAAGTTTATTTCCAAGTATTTTTCGCTGATAAGTGGTTATATGCTTTTTAAGCAAATCGGAGGTTATCATAATGTAAACTGTTTTGCAAGGTCTACCTAGAAAAAAATATTTACCAAATTGTCAAAAAGTTTAGTGATGGTAAAGCATACTAGCAAAGGGTTTTACAAAAGGTCAACTGTAAGAAGAGACACAGATTTTTGACATAATTTAGTTCAGAAAATAAAAATGTTAAAGATGGTGGTCACAGAAGCGTTATTTATTTTTCAATACTTCATTAGTAGATGAGTTACACTTGTTTTCACAAATAATGGTGGTAAAAAAATATAATAAATTTATGCCCATCTGACAGTCGAACGAGATAAAGAAACTACATTGAGAATTGTTGAGATGTCATATTTGATTCATGAATGATAATCGAGTTAATTTTCGTGTTTTCTTGTTGCGAAAAACCCAATATTCAGAAGTGTCAGATTTAGGCACACAAAGGTTCATATCATAATCTTTTATTGTGAAGAAAAACTATTGACGGCAAATATAATTGTAATATTTATTAGTAAATTGAGGGCGGACTAACAATGCATTTAGAGAAGCGTATATGAGAAAAAGTTCAAGAATCACTGTCCTAGCAGGGTAAATAAATCGGATTCAATACCCTTCGCCCAATATGTGAGAAATAATGCCCAATAAACAATTATTACTTTCACTTATTTTCTAATGTAAATTAAAACACAGAAAATGTTATAATACTTGATCACATTCCAACAATAATCACGATGTTACTCAAAATATAGACAGGTCCAGCTGTTTGATGCACAAATGCGCGTAGCTGATATTATGTACGTAAATGCCAAAATTATCATCATAAGAAAACTACGTGGATCATTTAAAAAAAAATTTCAATTCAATTTTACTTTTTGAAAACAATAAAAGTAAATTTTAAAATCATTGCGATTCAATTATTTTTATCCTTGGGTAGGATTTCTTTTCTACATTATTCATGCTTCTAGAGTCTTTTGCGTGTGTGAATCAGCAAATGTTTTTCTAACGATTCTTTCCACATTGTTTACAAACATAAAGCCTCTCTGCAGTATGATGAGTTCGCTCATGCCTGTGTGAACTGGATACATGAGAAAATTCCCTTTACACACATAAGGTTTCTCACCTTTATGAGGGCGCGCCCTTACCACGTTGTTTAACAAATATAAAGTTTTTCTTCCAGTATGATGACTTCGCTCATGCCTATGTAAATCGGTTGAATTCAAAAACCTTTACCACATTGTTTACAAACATAAGGATTATCTCCGGGTATGATTTCTCTCAATGAACATATAAATTAGATGATTGCGAAAACCCTTACCACATTTATTACAAACATATGGCTTCTCCCAGTATGAGTTCGCTCATGCGCTTTTCAGTGTAAATAATGCGAAAAAACCCTTTCATATTGTTTACAAACATAAGGTCTCCAGTATGAATTAGCTCATGAGCCGACATATGAGATAGTCGCGGAATTTTCTTCCACGTTGTTACAAACAAAGAAATCTCTCTATAGTATCATGAGATATCAAGTTCGCTCATGCCTAAGTAACTCGAATACATGCGAAAATTCACTACCACATTGTTTACAAACATAAGGGCCTTCCTCCAGTATGAAGTTTTCTCAATGCACTTGTAAAATTGAATAATCGCAAAAAAAACTTTTCCACACTGTTGACAAAAATAAAAGTTCTCTCCAGTCCGATGAGTTTGCTCATGTTTATGTAAACTTGATACATGAGGAAATTTACTCCCACATTCTTTACAAACATAAGGCTTTTCTCGGTATGAATTCGCTCATGGACATGTAAATTAGATTATGTGCGAAAAACTTTACCACAGTGTTTACAACATAAGGTTTCTCTTCCGAATGTGTTCGCTCAATGCACGTGCAAACCAGTTGATTGCGAAAAGTTCTTGCCGCATTGTTTACAAAACATAAGGCTCTTTCCAGTGTGAGTTCGCTCGCGCCTATGTAAATCAGATATATTTGAGAATCTTTTCCACATGTTCACAAAAACACAAGGCTTTTTCCCAGTATGAATTCGCTCATGAACATTTAAAGTGGATGATTGCGAAAATGCTTCACCACATATTTTACAAATATAAGGCTTCTCTCCATTATGAGTTTGCTCATGCCTATGTAAATTAGATACAGTGATAATTTCCCTACCACATTCTTTACAAATATAAGGCCTCTCTCCAGTATGAATTCGCACATGCGTTTGTAAAGTAGATGAATACAAAAAAGCCTCCCCACAATCTTTACAAATATAGGGTTTCTTTTCAGTATAAGTTTGTTTATGCACACATAAGTTGAATAAATCCTTTCCACCTCGTCTACAAAGATGAGGTTCATACTCACAATGGGTTTCTACATTTGACCGAGCTTTTGTGTTGGTGTGAACAAGTGACTGATTTTGCAACTTTCCGTCCAGAAGAGAGGTTACTTTTATTTCATGACAATTACGTGGTTTGTCAGTCTTATCAATTGAATCAGTTTGGATACAGCGTGGATGAACTTTAGATTTCTCTTCGCCGCAAGTTTGTTGAATATATTTATTTGTTATTTCATTCCCACAATGCTCATAATAGTCGGTAGGATCAATGATATTAAACAACATGATAGGCAACTCTGACGTCACTCCATAAGACTACAGGCAAAACATTGTATTTCATGATACGCTCCAATGCACATATTTCTCGTCGCCTTTCGTGTCCGTTTTCCGCTCGCTTTTGCTACTCGGCGTCTTTTTTACGTGTAGTACCTGCCTTTTTGCGCCTGTAACGAAACAAAATAATCTCTATATCTAAGAAGTTTTGCTTACTTGGAAAGCTGGAATAACAGGCAAGCTGTAAAGAGCAATTCTGGACATCATAGACGTTTTTTTTTATCAGAACATTTTGCAGATAATGACAAAGTTCAAAGTTAGTAATTTTAATGTTTGCGCTTAATCATTGAAATTTCATTTAAAAAGGGTGTCATACAAAACTGTGCTGCGAATACAATTCCAATAACACAAAGTTTTGCACCTATCGAACTTGCTTTGTAGGTGAATTTATTAGACATATTACATATTCAGTTAATCGTAGGTAACATTGCTGGTACATAATGCATCGTTGATAGGTTTGTTTAAATTAGGAATTTAGCTCATAGCCCACTAATTAATATTATCTTCTATGCAGGAGGTTGCAGGGCTGAAATTCAACTTGCAGCCTTACCGATCACCTGACGATGCTCATTTAGTTTGGCTCGAGCAAGTCTTCTTGAAATGCTTGTGTGGATGGAACTACCTATATTTTTTGCCTTCCTCCGATTTTAGACAAATTTATTCTAAGGGATTTCGCTAATAAATTCTCAACTGATTGTTGCTGTTTATAATCCTATTGATTGTGAATTCTGATTATAACAATGAGTTGAAAATTTTTTTTACCTAATTTACTGGCACCTTTTTCTTGTCAATACTCCAAGCTGAGGTAATAACTGACAATACATTTATGTCATCTGGAAGCAAAAATATGCAACACTAATTAATAGTTTGGCACATTGAGATAATACATCATGACAGAAAATACAAGTTAAAGATATTATGACCATCACAATGGTAATTAAAAATTATAAAAAATTAATAGGGGCTGTGGAGTATGGAAAGTTCAAGACAAAGAAAAGAACAAATGTTCATAGCTCATGAACTCTCAATTTTGCCTCCATTGCTTTGTGAAGGCCAATATATTTCGAGTGCTGAATTTGGTTTACTTTATGATAGCAACGATTTTGTATTTAATATAGCAAGATTATTTCAATTGATTAAGTTTTATTTTTTTCTTCAATTTCAAATGCAATTACATATTAATATTTGCATTCCACTATTATTGCCAACATTTGCAAGTTACAGTAATTTATTTATAAAAAATCGTAAAATTCTATGTTACAACCATCAAAATCATTTTTGAAACAAGCTTTGAATAAGGAAAGAATAATACAATACACTAAAAAATAACTTAATCTAAATATATGAACCTAAAATTAACAAAAATACTACAGTAATAAACTCAATGTTTTAATAATTACATTTTGTCCTGGCGTTTTGGCATCTTTTTGTGTCACAGCATACTAAGGCCAGTCTGAAATGATTTTATAGTACCCAACTCTAACTAACGAGGCCACATGATCATGGGTTTATCTGGATCTTTACGAATGTTTAATTAATTCCAGTAATGCAAAAAAGTTACTTTTATCATTTCATGTATAGATCAGTAAAAAAACAAATGACAGATTTTTTTCGACAAGACATTTCGCACTACATTGCGTGGCATAGGATTGGCTTGAATTATTATTGATATTGATTTTTAGTAACTAAGTCGTTGTATAATTATATTAATATACAAACACATGGAAATTTTCTGTTCGAAGTTGGTCTTCGAATTTGTCATATTGACTGCTGAGCTTATTGTGTTTTTTGATTGTATTGACGGAAATATGACAAATTAAAACAATGTGCTTCAGAATTTTGTGAAGAGCAGAAATGTTACAACTCCCATTTTCTTCGAAAATGCCACCTTCTTCATGTACGTTTGCGTTTAATTTAATTACTCAAGTGTTTTCATTCAAGTATTCTTTTGCATAGCTTGATGTGTATTCTTAATTGGGTCAAAATGTGGACAAAAAAATTAATATTCCAAAACTACTTTCAGTAAATTGTTTTCTGTGTGAATAATCAATTTCACTTTAGAAGGTTTGAAAAATCTATTACATTTAGATAAAAAAAAAAAAACTTCAAAAATACTATTACAATTATTGTTAAGCGTTCGAGGGCCGCACTGGAAGTTCTCTGGGGCCGCGAGTTTGAGATCCCTGGTCTAGATTGAAGTTGTTCAAAAAATATATGATAGTATTTTTATCATGAATGATGATTATACCCCCTTCCGGAATTTCTTCTATAGTACTACCAAAAGTTGATGAACCAAATATAACACAGGTGCAGTGAGGTACCCGTAATCCTCATTTCCAAAGCTGTTTTAAGTATGTCCGGCGTGTTTTGTGCCTTTTTACAAATAAGACCGCTTATGCAATCTTACGCTTTGGAATTTTTAGTTATTTTCCTCAAGCCCTGCAGGATGTGGGGGCCATACACAACTTTACCGGAGGGTCAAATGTCTTTGCATGCCTCCATAGGTTGTTCTTCTATTGCAATTTTCTATTTTCAATTGCATTATATTTCTTGGAATCACACTGTCACTGATATGTCGCCAGACTTCTGATATCTCCCCGTCTGCTATAGTTGTCCTGTGAATAAATAATAGGAAATTGAGATTAGACGAATAGTTGAAAAGTTTTGCTTTAATGTCGGCTTAATTTCTTGATTGATATACTTACTATTTCTGCTATTGCCTCTTGTGCTGCAAGAGTCTCACAATTGCTTAGACAGGTTTGTCCACAACTTTCACATCTGAAGAAAGAGAGGAGATTTATTAATTTCGTTAAGAATGAATAAAGCAGTCTATATGATTCAAAATGGAAAAGCTAATAAATCCAATATCTCATGTTTTATTTAAAAAATATTTTACTGAATTTGGTATATAAACCAACTAATAAAAGGTTTAGTCAGAAAAATTACAAGCATTCGTGGCTCCAAATACTTGAGAAATCAGACTATACAATATAGACCGGTATGAGTGAAATGTTAGGTGAACTTGTTAACACTTTGATTCAATACGCAAATAAAAGTGAATGCGTAATAGTATGTTACAATGAGCAGCAATCAACAATGAGTATATATCCTCACTGATTAAAAAAATCTAACTGGAGGTGCATGAACTATTTGAAACCATAAAGGGGTAAGTAAATATGCAATTTCGGCAAATGGGCAATACGTACGTACTGAATTAATAACTTCGTAGTATTTGACAAAGGCTGGCTTTCCCACATGTACTTAACCAGTGCGATGCCCGGGTGTGATATACAACAATAGTATTCACCTTACCCTTTTACCCGATTTCTTTTTAACCCCCAACTTTCAAAAAATATCATTAAAATCGACAACAACTGTCAAAGCAGGCACGAACACCATTCGTGCTACGCCTTGAAAGCAGCACACATCCGCTCGTTTTCGTCTCGTCAAGTATGTGCATTGGAGCGTGCTATCGAATACGATCTTCGGACAAAAATGCCGGAGTTGCGCATCATGTTGTTTAATGTCATTGGTAGGATGAATTGTTCCCACGTTGCTCTTAGCTGCATATTCGCTCAAATCTCGAGCCTCATCATTTTTATCATGAATGTGCAAAAACATATGCTTTTCCAAGCATGGTCCCCTGATGAAAAGTTTTCATCACAGATGAGGCAGGGAAATACGTCTTTGATGGTTTCTTTCATTTCTAATTAAGTTTCCGTAATGCAGAATATCTAAATATGAATATTAAATGTAGGCATTTTGCACCATTGTAATAGAATAGAATAACCAATGTTAACATATTTGTGATTGACATAATACGCTGGGAAAATTTCATATCTTCGATGAAAAGCTATGGTCTTCGGTGTCATACAAATCTTCCAAACGTACAATGATGGTCATATTTTTTGATACTTTTTTGCTATCATCACTGTAGGTTTTCACGCACACGGCCATTAGACCGCGCGCAAATGTGTTCATGTAACTAAAAACTAAAGTGAAGCGTCGTTATGCGTCTACCGTACGTGCCGATGACCAATTATACAAACGAGAATATCGGTCGGAGACCGAAGACTCATCGATCGGCCGCAAAAAAATGATTAATAAATTGATAACTTGCTAATTATAAAAAAACGAAAAAAAAATATTAATCAATTATTAACTCGATAATTCATCCAAAATCAATAGGCTTGTGGTCCGAGATATGATGAATGCACATTCAAAATTTGGAGCAGATTCAACCTCGCCTTCGTGAGATATCGCGTTCATCTAATAGACAAACGAACAGACAGACAAATACCTATCAACATACTTAGCGATCAAGATCGATTGATAAGTCCGGACAAGCCAAACAAAGTACAAGTAACAGCGCACGCATATCGAGTTGTTACTTATCGATCTTAAGGTCGGTAAGTATATTGATAGGTATTTGTCTGTCTGTGTGTGTGTCTGTTAGATGCACGCGATATCTCACGAAAGCGAGATTGAATCTGCTCCAGATTTTGCATGTGCATTCATCTTATCTCGGACCAGAAGCCTATTGATTTTCGGCGAATTATGTCGTATAATTAGCGAGTTATCAATCAATTATTGATATAGTGATCTAGATTTTTGTAAAGCGAGAGAATTTTGATACCCACCGAGTGTGTGTGTGCGATGCGCAGTGCGCAAGTTACAAGAGCGGATGAATCGAAACTGCAGTTTCTGTTTTGGGGGATCCCCTAACTATCGATCGATAAGTCTTCGGTTTCCAACCGATATTCTCGTTAATTTATTAATCAATATGTGGGTGCCCCGAGGGCACGGCGTTGTAAAGCCGTCATTATCAAAAAAATAGTCTAAATGCAGTTTTTTTTATCTTTTGTTTTGTTTCAACTATAATGTTAGCGCTTTTAAGTTCAAGGCACGTTTACGAAGTCGAAAGATTGAGTGAATTGGTATATAATTGACACCATATTGTCAAATGCAAATAAGCTATAATCACCTTACCCTTATTTGGTTTTATTTTTGGCGTAATCAGTATTATGGTGCCCCGAAGGCATGACGCCTCAATGACGTCTAATTACAAGTCTTACACCTTTCGTTTCGCCTTAATGATTGTGTTGGCATCAATTTAAAAATAATTCAAAGTCTAAATCATGCTTGTGAAGTTGAAATATTAACTAAACTCGATAATATTAACTGCAATTGGCAATTTTCGCCCTGTATGCTTAGACTTATTTTAGGTCAGTGAGCAAAATTATCTTGTCCTACATATTAAAAAACAAAATAAATACAACAATGTATTGCACGGTATTATCAGCAAAATTATTACCGATTCTTACAGTAGCGTGCATGTGGGTATAATTTCCTTAGAATTTTCCCAATCTTCTGTGTGTTTGTCGTTTGTGTTTTGTGTATATTTTTTTGCGGGAAAATCTGAATATACTTATAGAAACTCAACAGTGTCTGCAGAATAATAAATATGTAAGTCGTATCACGTCCAATCAAAGCGACAGGGAGGATAACTCGACTACCTGAACTGTGTTGGCGAGTTGTTTGTCAACTTAAAAACGTCCATCCGCAAATTGACGCTTGAACGGCTGCTTAGATTACAATTGTTAAATCATCGTTAGGTTATGGGTAATGATAAGCCATTGTTAGGGAACAAAAACTGAATAAATATCAAAGAAAATCGATACTTGAAAGAAAACCCATTTCAAATATTATATATATATACGCGAATGAAACAAACTTTCAGGCTGTTTTAAAAGTATACAACAGTCCGAAAGTTTATTACATTCGCGTAACTAACCCTAAGTATCTATCTATTTTTGTGTGTGTTTATTTTTGAACCAAGCCTTGTTTAACAAGATTTGTGTTTTTTGGTATGAATGCGTGTTGGTGAGCGGGCACATTATACTCATCATGTTTTAAATTTTTTTCAAATGTTTTGTTCGCTCTCCAGAATTCTCCATTTTTAATCCGGTCTTACTACTTACTGAATACAGCGCAAAGAGCGCAAAACAGCGCGAAACAGCGCAAAACAGCGCGAAACAGCGCAAAACAGCGCGAAACAGCGCAAAACAGCGCGAAACAGCGCAAAACAGAGGGAAACAGCGCAAAACAGTGGGGAAACAGCGCAAAACAGAGGGAAACAGCGCGAAACAGAGGAAAACAGCGCAAAACAGAGGAAAACGGCGCAAATCAAAGAAAAACGGAGCAAAACAGAGGGGAAAAGATACTTGATAGTTACTGTATTTATTTTCGGAAACATGGACTTGATGATGGAGGAAACCGTAACCAACCGATCAGGGTTAGGTGAACCACCCTACGGCGGCGAGGAGTCCAGCAATCCTTTCGCACTATACCCGCATGGGATTCGAACCTGTGAACCCACGCCAATGACATTAAACAACGTTGTTTAATGCCATTTCCCACACAGAGTAATGCGGTGCGGAGGCGAGTGTATTCCTGACACTTAGAACGATGAGCCACACCGTCTTATTACTTATCGATCTCAAGATCGGTATGTTGATAGGTATTTGTCTGTCTGTCTGTTAGATGAACGCGATACCTCACGAAGGCGAGGTTAAATCTGCTACAAATTTTGCATGTGCATTTTCATCATATCTCGGACCAGAAGCCTATTGATTTTGGATGAATTATGTCGTATAATTAGCGAGTTATTAATTAATTAGTGATGGGACACGCGGTGTCACTATGGAGTCATAAATTGAAACCGCAGTTTCATTTCGATCGATAAGTCTTCCGTCTCCGACCGATATTCTCGTTATTTGTTTACAATGTTTTATGAATGACGAAATGAAATATCTGAATCTGAAAACGGTAAATAATCAAGGACTTACTTCTTGTTCTTATAATAAAAAAGTAATGTATATCGCGCCGTCTACAAATATATGAACCTACATTGTACGAGTAATTCGTGTCTGTTTATCAGAAAGGCATATAAATATTTAAATGTCAAAAAATGCTATTTTTACGACTGTAAATAAAAGCATTGAATGTCAAATATTTTGCAATATACGCCTGAATACAATGGCTCGCTCTTTTTACGAATGCACGATACAAAACAACCAATTTCGCTTTTTTTGATCACCCTCAAATAGGTAAAGCACAATGCTACAAGAAAATTAGTAGTATATAAATCACATTTCTACGACAGTCAATTTCCGATTATTTTGTTTTATGTGTTATAATATAATGTTATTCTTCATCGCATGACTGTGCAAAATATGCAAAACGCTGGAGAATGTCCTCATTTATGCCCGGTTTCAACAATTTTGCGCGGTTTTTAGAACATACTGATTAAAGTTTATATTCGGGAATATTTTTAATAGTTCCACACGATAAACATCATATTACGATCCACGCCGATATCAAGATTATAAATGAAACTGTATATTGTATTTGCAGCGCCTTAGGATGATGAGGCATTTTATTTTTATAACGCGGCGCATTTGATAAGAACCTTTAAGTGAAATTATTAATCACTCTCGAAAGTCTCGACTATATGCATCCAGGAAACACAACATTTTTTTTTTATTATTTATTAACGTCAGTGAAATTTTAACAGTACAGTAGGAAACGATCACGAGTTTACATCAGCAATCTTCAACAACCTAAAATAACGAAATATGTGCACACTACTAAGCAAAATCGAAGATATTTTTGTGAAGAGAAACTTCAACAAAATATACTAAATAGTATGTCGTCACAATACATAATAAATTTGACAATGAAATTGTGAATAAGTAAATCATTCAGCAAACGAAACTTTAAAACGCGAATAGTTTATAACTTGTTAATTTTTTTTCCAAATTTCGATAATTTACTTCTAACTTTTTCTGATCGAGGTCTACGCTTCTGGCCCGGTTTCCTCGCAATTCCTCGGACAGTGGCTGTTCTAAATTTAGTTATACTGGATTTTGTTGTTTTTATAGGGGTAAAATTTTCTTGCGTGCGAATTCTTTCTTTCATAAACTTCTCAAACGCTTTGTCTTTTTCCTCAACGTTCATCGAGCACCACACTGCATGAGTTCTGAGATGCTTTTGGTAAGATCCTGTTAACGAATAATTACCTTTCCCATGAATTGCCAACTTCAAGTCTGCGTATTGAAGGTTGACAGCATTTTGAAAGTGTCTTATCAAATCTGGCAATTTATGTGGTTTCCACTGCAAATCTAGCTTTATAATATTGTTGATACTTTCACAATTATTGTTAGTCCACAGTTTTTCTAAATGTTTCATTCTAAGCGGCTTGATTACAAACTCTTTAAGTGCTGGCAAAAAATTCTCTGATAAATATTTCTGCAGGTCTTCATGATCAGCAATCTTATTGTTTATAATCTTCACTTTATTGTTGAATGTTTTTAATGAATCAGCAAAGACGACGCCGTTTTCGGAAAAAAAACAAGTCGTACACTTCGGATCTCTGTTTTGAGGACAGAATTGTTTTTTCTCGAAGATGGTGCCGTAGGTTTACCTTTAGATATTTTGTACATAGAAATCTATTAGCATTGGGAAAGCAGTGATCTATTGCTTTCGTTAGAGCTTTTTCATTGTCGCTTCCAAATATTTATACGAATTTCAGAAGTAAACTGCGAGTTAGACAATTCTAGCACTCAAATGCAAAAAGAATCGGCAGTAAGTTTCAAAGCTTGCATCCCAATGTAGATAAACAGGTCCCAAAAAAATGGGCTATCGTCCGTGTCATTTTTTATTACCTTGTAGTGTTTAAATATAATAGTAGTGGCATAGCATGCTGCTATGTTGAATGTTCGATCTACTCCTATAATTGTTTGGTCAGATGACTGAATGGGATATAGATTGCAAATCCGCCAATTGATATCCTGTATACAATATTATACTTGGCGGTTTTTCAGGGGTCAGTATAATTTTCTTTCACATAAGGATTTGTGTTTATTTTGTTTAGTACATCTAGAACTTCATCGGCAATATTATATTTTGTACTTTTAGAGTTCTCTCCTTTGTTGAGTTTTCATTTTTCTGTTGCGAACTTGTTTGAAGTCGCGTGGCGACGATGTCGAATCATTTAACACCATTTCTCGGTAAATTTTCTGGTTGGTTCGTTGCAACGTAACCTTTCGTCGATTGTTTCTGTGACATGTTTCGGCGTGCGA